TCAACTTGACCCTTCCAGGCTCTGAGGAAGGCGAAATTCGCCGAAACGTCAGCTTGTGCGTAAATAAAGAAATAAAATAGCACCTCGTGTTTGCTGAACAGAAGTAGAAAAACGGTAATAATCAAAGAAAAGGTAGTACTTTACAGGATTTTGCACGCAAATAGCTACTCTGAGCAGGAAATTCAAGACACTAAGTTCATGGTTTATATGAATATCGTGGAGGCGATGACCCTACTTCTCGACGTAAGGGATGAGCTGCGGATCCCGTTCGAGAACAATTCCATGGAGGCGAGTTTTATTTTTTCTCTGCAACACATTTTCAATTGAACAACCGAAAAGTTAGTAGGTGGGAACTAGAAGAAAAAGCGACTTTCTTTTTCTAAAAGGTACCAGACTTTAAAATATAAAAATAGTCGCTATGACTAGTTTAGAGGCTCGTCTGGTTCAGTGGTCGGGCGCCGTGCAACACACACATGGGAGCGGTCCCAGCGCCCGTGGCCCACCAAGGCTTCCATCTCTCCGGGGTCAGCAAATTGGTACCTTACTTGTCTGGTACCATAGCAGCATTGGCTCAATACATCGGTAGGCCACCGCGAGTCATTGTAAAGACCAGATAGGCATTCAATCACCTCTAAACGATGAATGATGAAGTCGAAGACATGGCGCATCCCTCAGAAATTGATGAACGCCGAGAGCTTTATCTTTTTTCAAAGATTGGTTCAGCTCGAAAATCGTTGATGTTCAATTCAAAGCGCATTCTTATTGTATACAAAATCGATGCGCTTTTCTTTTTTAGAGCGCTACACTTTTAACTCTTTTATTTACTGCCTTTTTCTTCTTAATGGTAGGTTATGTTGCGAAATATAACTCGTATGAAATGCTGAGATATTTGCAGAACTCCGGACCACAGGTGTATGCAATGGAGAACGAACACGCGCTGTTGTCCTTACCGGGGAGCAGCGCACTTCACCACTGTGCACTTCACCACTGTGCGCTGCTCCCCGGTAAGGACAACAGCGCGTGTTCGTTCTCCATTGCATACACCTGTGGTCCGGAGTTTTGCAAATATCTCAGCATTTCATACGAGCTGCACTTCTAAATATTTTTGAATGCTTTCACTTTGGTGTTTCGACAGATACGTGGAAGAAATCTGGACAATGCCGTATTGAATAAGGAACGTCACTGAGCAAGAGGAATCTTTTCGTTAGCAAAGATTTCAGTCGAGCATCTCGAGCATTCTCTCATAGTTGCTGCTCCTTTTTACCGTATCTTGGCGCTACTTATTGCCATTGTGTTGTTTGGAGTGAAATGTGTGATTTTACAACAAAAACCCTTCTATGTATAATTTTGAATCTATGAACATTCAATAGATTAGCTTGTAGTTTCATAATTCCTATATCTTAACGCAAATTACTTAGCTCGACATGAAAGACTTCCTTAAATCCAGGCCATGGCAACATGGCAAAAAGTAGGAAGAAATTTCCGTATTGCAATAGCACCAATTTCCCATAATCTTGAACTGCTAGGAGAAAAGTTGAAAAAGTGAATTTCACACGATTTTGCTGAGAGTAAGAAATTGTGCTCCTGAAAAATCTTTAACTTTTTGCCTTTTCGGAATACGATAGGACCACTTTTACTGAAACGAATTATTAGTTGTGAGAGACAGATAGTACGAAAATAGTCAACGATCGGCTTAATGGGCGAATGCTGACGAAAAGCTGCGTTACACATCCAGCCTGAGCCCACTGATTGGTGGCCATTCACCGACGCTTGAAATAGACAATAGTAAGTAAAATTGTGGTTACAGAAGGACAGTATATCAGCATTTAACCGAAGAGTTTCGTTCACATTTCAATAGGTAGAGTCGAATCTGGTGTAGGAAAAAGATACGGGAAAAACGCTTCACACTAGATTCCTTGCAACATTCTTCATCAGTGGAGAATTATGAAACTGTTTTTCACAGTTCTCTAGAAATGTAATGCGAAAATTATTAACAATGGTTGCTAAGACCATGGAAATGCCCTTAACACTCATTAAATGATTCGAAAGACGCTTTACTTTCTTCACAAAAATCTGAGTGCTAAAAGAAGTTTGTGTCAGATTCACGGAAAAGTCGTCCGTAAAGCGTTTGCGGCCGGTTACAAGTACACCGAATGGAGCCCAAAACTTTGTTCAGCGCTTCGCGCTCTTTGGACAGACGGCGGAATCCGGAAAACATACTCGACCAGAAATTACTTTCATATTAGTGAAAGTTCTGAATAGTAAGTTTCAAATGTATTTGCTATGAAATTCATGGTAGATATTGTGAAAGCTCCATATATAACCGCAGTGATGCGGCGATAGTCGCAAAAAGGCAGACCCATACTAGAATGGCATACGCGATTGTCCCTTTCGGAGCACACGTGTTACCCACTGCACCACTAAGGTTCTTGCTTTGTCTTTCTCTCAGCCAGATTTTTAAGGAACTGTTGACAAAAAATCGGCATTAAATCCAACTAGGTTGAGGTTGCCACAAACTACATTCTATAACTTTTCATTTGCTGCTTTACTCTTACTTACTTTTTTATGTTTGGGTATTTTGTGAAACACAACTACAACGATGCTGCGATAGTACCAAGGATCGTCTTTCTATTAACCTTGGCATTGGATTATGAATTCGTCGTTTTCTTTTCTTCAATCGCAAGGTTGTTAAACGGCATACGTTTACTTTCATACAACAACACACACACAACACAATAGTAGCTGACGTTTCGGCAGAATCGCCTTCTTTAGAGCCTGGAAGGGAACACTAATGCACAACTTACTGGTTCAAACGCTTCAAAAGCACAAACAGAAAGATGAAAATCTGCACGATAACTACAAGATCTACGGCTTTTCGAAAAAACCTCCGCTTTTTTCACCTGTCTTCCACCGAGGAAGAACAGCCACTCAGAGTCGCATATGGTATATGGCTACGAAATTGTAACCCAACGGGATAAGTTTCGAAGGAGAACAACGCCCCAAAACGAACGGTTCGGTCGAAACAAAGTCCTGTTTATCTTACTCTTCATTAGCGATGAAATAAGTGTAGCGATGAAGTGGTGCTTAAGAACGGCAGATATAGAGGAATCGGTAGCGATAATTGAAATACCACTGAATACTCTTCGTCGTCAGGTAGTTCGTAACCTCCTATATGACCGTCTATGTGAAACACAAAATTGCGTAATTTGCTCTTATGGCAGGGACGGTGGCTGCACGAGTTCAGGTACGATATACCTGATTTCTTGTAGTACTCGCGGAGACGAATATATTGGCAAAACGGGCAGGCGTTTACGTATCCGTATAAATGAGCACCTAGATGGTAAACAAAAAGTAGGACAAGGTACGCCACTAGGGAAGCATAGGATACAAAAGCACAGCGGAGACGATTTTGACATAAGAGCAACTATCCTCGCACTGGATCCTAAAACACCAACGCGCAAACTCCTCGAGAGTTTTTGAATAATTGCCCGAAATCCCACAATGAATAGCAGGGAGGAATGCCCCGAGATCACGCGTGATCTCGCCCCTTACCTTCGTGTCGATCGTTAATGGGTGGTGGTGCAGTCGTCAGCCATATGAGGCTTTGAGTGGCTGTTCTTCCTCGATGGAAGACGGGTAAAAAAAGCGGTGGGTTTTTTCGAGAAGCCGTTGATCTTGAAACTGTCGTGCAGATTTTCATCTTTCTGCTTGCGTTGTTGAAGCGTTTGACCTAGTGAATTACATATTAGTGTACGCTTCCAGGCTCTGAAGAAGGCCATTCTGCTGAAACGTCAGCTACGGTTGTGTTGTATGTGTGTTATTGTATGGAAGTAAAAATATGCTGTTTAACAACCTCGCGATAACTGAGAGAGAAAACGACGCTGAGATGCTTGCAAACCTCAGACCCTGGCCCAATTACCTGTTGGTGGATTATTGCTAATGGCACCATTAGGGCGAAAACTGGATGAGCCTGGAGTCCTAGTTTTGCAAAAGGCTCAGCATCT